AGCCCCTTTTAAAAACGTAGCCCCCCCTTTCTTTGCTTGGCAGGGTTATCTATGAAGCAGGCTAGGGAAACGCATGATCTCAGCATCATTCTTTTGCTCCCCAGTACAAAATTAGAGGGGTTTTTGCGTCCAGTCATAGTTAGACTATACTCACTGAAGTTTATGAAATGTTGTAATGGGGGAAGAACCTTAACCTTATCCAGACTAGGCTTTTTGAAACTTTCGGGAGACTAGGGGGGTGCACTTTGTGCCCCCCCCCCTCCATAATTTCTTTGTCTCTCTAGCTAGGACAATGAACTTTGTTTGGATGATACTCTTATCTATTCTCCACATTTTAAAAATATTGTTTCATTGTCACGTGGTTTAACGATGACGTCATCATAATGGCGGCCTTGGCTCATACCGCCAACTTGCAGTTTTATTAAATTAACACCTATAAATATTTCAACAAATGTGTGCGCATGCGCAGTAGAAAACCATATTTTCATCAATGTATCTACTTTAGTTGAGAATCCGTGGCAGATTAAACTTTTTTTACTTGACTAGTTTTGATAACGCCCCTACATAAAACCCTGATTAAAAAAAATTATCTTTTTATATGAACATGTGTCAGATAGGTTAAAACTAAAAGTCAGTAGGTCTGAGGGGTATTGCTTTGAAACTCGTGAAGTTATGAAAGAAAAACCAACTGAGGGGGCACTTCGTGCCACTCCCTAATCTGGATAGGGTTAAAAAAGTTGTGAATAGTTTTGTGTAGGCTGTCCAACTATTTTGGTGAGGATTTTTGGTGAAAATGGCAAAGATGAAATGAATAAAATGGCCACATCCCTGTAGCGCAAGAAAAACAGATATAAAGTATCTATTTTATGTCATTAGACGCCACTTGCTTCAAAACGCAAGCCGTAGTGAAATTTAAAATACGCTTGAACACTGGTCAGAAATGAGGCTCCTCAATAGATGCTCAATCAGTCTAAAGATTAAATAAAGTTATAATAAAGCACTGCTTTCCATTTAAACTGAATCTTTAATCTTTAATCTGTAGACTTTGGATTGATGTCTTTGCCCCGTCCCGTTGCATTCTCTTTTTGCCAGATCTTCTTCTTTTTAGCCAAAGCAAGCTTCATTTATCTAAGTCTTTTACCTAGATCTTCATTTTCTTTACTTGCAAGGGCTATTTTGTGTTTTCAATGGTGCTTTTCCCAACTAAAGAAAGGCCTATTTGATTATAAGAGCAGAGACATTTGGATTGGATGGTATCAAATTTCCTTGGAAATATTTTTCCCCAAAAACTATAAACATTTTGAAAATTACGCTTTTGCAGTAAAAAGGTTCTCTCTTGAGATTAGAAATACCCTGGTAACTATTCTATGCTCTATCAAGGCTCATGGCAACATGTCCTCTCATCCAGGGGGCGCCAGAGCCACAGGGGCAGAGGGGGCAGCACGTCCTCCTTTCAGCAGTTTATCAACAGCACTGGTGAACATGGTGAATACCTCTAATTAACATCATTGGCATTTTCTCATTGGAGCAAACCATGTAGCTTTTCTGTTTGTTTCAGATCAGAAAGATGCAGATGAAAGCTCACCTATAATTGATAAAATAGGTAAGAAAAAAACTAAATCAAAATTTATAGATGATTGTAATATATCTACATTACTGTTGAACTACCAACTTCCCTGACGTGTCTTGAAACAAATTTCCCCGTCAATTGAGGACCATTCCTGTGGAAATTTTGGTGAAAATAGATGAAAGCTCACCTATAATTGATAAAATAGGTAAGAAAAAAACTAAATCAAAATTTATAGATGATTGTAATATATCTACATTACTGTTGAACTACCAACTTCCCTGACGTGTCTTGAAACAAATTTCCCCGTCAATTGAGGACCATTCCTGTGGAAATTTTGACAAACAAGTTAAATATAACTGTTGCGATCCATTCTCAATTCCAATCCTCACGCTCGTAGAATGTTACCCAGAGAAAGAATCAACGAGGTTTCCTCCTTGATTTTAAATCTCCAAACAAATATACTATTTATATGATTACAAGCGTTCCTTTTTTTATCCAACATATCGTATCTCTATTTCCTAACCTTCACACTCTCCTACACGAGTTGCCATACCTCGATTTTATTACATAAATGATCAGCCGTTATTATGTGCGCCAGCACAAAAAAGATTGTGGCAGTACATTCGAGACTAACTGTTACACTAGCAAATACCATGAAACACGATCTAAAAACAGAACATCGTTTTATATTATTCATATCGTTATTTTTTTAATCTTTCCTACTTCTTTTATGTTTGGCAAAATGTATTTTCTTTAATCTTTTTATGGAACTCGTCTAAAGAATTTAGAAAGATGGAGAAGAAAACCAGTACATTTTAAACAAAAAATTAGCTTCAAATCAAAGTGATTTTCTTTTGACAGTTATATTAGCCTTGTCCTGTTCCAACATTTTTTCATTTCATATAGTATTATTAAAGATTTATCAATTAACGTAACAGAAACATGCATAAAAGAATTTTCTACAACATTTACGCTCTTTTTTTAACGATTACAAGACATTCTAAAATAATGTTCTGTAACTGATTTACGAGTATTTGTTGTTGTTCATTCTCGTCGCACTGCGGTGTTTCTTATTTGCTACATTTTGATCGATTTTTCGCCGCAAGCACTCCTTGGAGTCCGTCAAGCAGACAGCTATTGTGACCTTTTCTTTATTCACGCATTCTTTAAAAACCTGCTAAAAATAACTTCAGCACCTGAGGCCAAAAATTAAGAAAGAATGCAATCTGGAAAAAAACAGATCTCTCGGATTTCATGATTTTCAACTGGTTGGCCTAAACTTGAGATACAAACGCTGAAAATACCTGAAAAGATTCACGTACTATTCACAATAAACTTCAAAAGTCTTTTATTCAATGTCTCTAACGTAACATGAGACATTCAAATGCAAGCTACCAGAACAAGAAATTTTTATTGTTCATTTAGAAAAATGAAAAGACTTTTCATACCACGGCAATTGAAGTTCAAAGACTGTTACTTTGTTTATAGCAATATATCATGATCATTTCATATTGAATACGGACAATTCCATTATTGTACGAGATTAAGATCTTTCCATTACTGCAATCTTAGTGGATACACTGTATCAACCATGCCGCAATGTACTAGTTTGCATTTTGGCTTGGCCTATTCCGATCGTTAATTGGTACTATTTTCTAGCTTAATATTTTCGATCCTTATTCTGACGTTTTTTAAACTATGTAGAGTATCAGACAAACTTTGGAATAATTTTGGACAACTTTGGACAACTTTGGACAACTTTGGACAACTTTGGACAATTTTGGACAACTTTGGATATCGATACCACTCCCTTTTTCAATACGTTGTAACTTTCTAAATCATTTTCTAAACAACACAATCATTTTTAAAGTTTCCTTCTTTGCAGATTTGATAGTGAAAATTTGATATGCACGTTTTGAATTTTTCGGGAAAAATCAATTTTCACAAGTAGTTTTTTTGAGAGATATAGGAGACCATATAATCAAAATGTTTTGATGGAAATACTTGTATGAACTAGTCAATTAATTTTTTCCTTGTTTTGCCCTTCTAACTAATGGGGATAACGCTACTCAACAAACAGTTGAATATCCCTCAGAAAATTTTAATAACTCTCCTTTCCTGTTTTTTCTAAAGTCGTCTTTTGCAGACCGGCCTGTTGCAGATTGTGCCAATTACTGGTTATCAAAGTGTGACGTCATCAACAATCAATCAATTTTTAGAATTTCCTAATTTTGACCATAAAATAAAGCATAAAATACCTCAAAATACAAAATCAGTCAATATGTTCGAAATAGGGTGTGATATTGCCAATGAAGGATTTCAGGATTGCCAATGAAGGATTTCAGGATTGCCAATGGATTACTGTTATTCTAGCCTTTTTCATTACAGTGATTTGATGGCAAAAAATCTTTTCTATACTCCATATAAAAATTTACACGCAAACTTACCAATTACACTAGCCATAAGCTACTCTAGAAACACTACAGAAACGACACCGCTGGGAGCAATATACATTATATTCAGCCTAGCGGCCATTACATTAAAAATTAATGAATATGAAGAAACACAAAAACACGACTTACAGCAGAAGACTACAAGAAGCTGCCTCAATAACACGCCAGTGTGATTCTGCATATCATAATCAAAACTTGAGCAGGGACTTCATAATTTTCCAGCAAAATTTTGCATATGTTTTCAATGTTGTTGGTCTGCTTGCTCTTGCAGTGGATCTACATAACACCTCTCTCTATTCTGTGACGCCATAGCTGCACACGTGACACTTGAATGATATGGGATATTTTGAAAGTTAACAGGTTTGATGTTTTTAACTTTTCAGAAATGAAGTGTCTCCTCTTACCAAAGCAATAATTTCACAGAAATAGAATAATGTCAACTTTTCAAAATGTCATCTGGAAAAATTGTAGCCAGGGGGGGGGCAAGTTGTTGTTAAAAAATTTCATGGGGGCTGGGGCACAGCCCCCTGCAGCTACGTGCCTGCAAAGAGACAGTCTCTTTTCGGCATTAAATGTTGATAGAAGTTGAGAATCAATGTGATTGATTTGTGCGTTCTACAGCAAAGCCTAGATTAAGGTTGTTTTGCTTAGCATCTTAGCATCAAAATAACTGGCTGAGAAAATGGTGAACGCAATATATTTTTTTTTTCAAAAAGGGTACTTTTTATTCTTTTTCTAATCAGAAGGGGCGTGTGCCCCCGTGCAGTCGACATCCTTTGCGAACCACGCATCAAAACTCCCTTTTTAGAACATTAAAGCAATATATGCATCATTCAGTGACTGTGAACATCGACGCTTGTTTTCAATCCTGAATAAAAACCCTATTCATATTACTCATATTGCAGTTGTAGCTATGGCAACTATCGATTTCCATTATGGTTTGTGTTGCGGGTTTCGAGTGGGCTATTGTCATGGTAATAAGCCGTGAAATAGGAAATGAAACGTCGCAAGGACTCTTTAACTGACCTGGAAATCGAGCCGAGGAAGATTTACACTTCCTTCTTATGAGACAGATTTTGCAACAAGACCTTTATGTGCTGTGGTTGACTGGCAAGTAGGAAAAACGTATTTTGCATCAGAAAAGCTGAGGCTAAGCCGCTAAGGCCCTATTTACATAGTTGTACATTGCTCCTGCAATCATGGGTTGTTGTGGGAAAGACCAAGATGATGATAACATAGAGATGAATGCCAAAGGCGATGGAGGAGGAAAGCAAGGGAAATATGGTATATTCTGTCTCATGTTTCAACTCTGAGTATAGGATATCTTTGCTGTGTGCCTTCCCATCAAGTGAACCTATCACCTATAGATTGGTTCAGCTTGTTTTTGTTAGGCCTAAGTTTCTTTTTCCAGCATAAATATAGTTGTAAAATTGAACTAAATCAAGGCTAACGAACATAGTTAGCTGCAACTGAGATGTTTTTGCTGAAAGAAGGTCAAACTCACAATGAAATGACAAATCTGAATAACAAAATTATTCCACAGAACTGTAGAAGCATTTAGCCTCAATAGAAATATGACCTATAAAGTTTATGTTGTTTTAGGCAAAAGGAGGCAAAAACTGAACAACCCAGGTGTTTAAATATAATGTAAAAATCAAAATGGAAAAATGAGAATGGGGAGATAAATAAGTTGCTACCAAATGGTTGCAACCTCAAACTCAGATGTGGGTTGTTGTATGTCCCCTTGAATATTTTTTAGCAGGGCAGAACATAATATGAGGGTGTTATAAAAAGTACTGTAGCCATATGTAAAGAGATCAAGTTAGGGGAAGTTCATAATTTTCATAATGACTTATACTCCAGAAACTATATTCTAGACTAGAAGCTATATACTCCAGACTTATACTTTAAACTTCAGAAAGCAATGCACACATTAGCAATGCACAAATGTAAAGCAAACAGGTGAAGAAATGCTGTTTTTGTAAATAATGCAAAATAGATGGAAACTATTTGGACATGTTCTACGATCACACCCTGAAACGCCAGCACAGAAGGCGATGAACTATTATTTTGAGACATCATCTTGTTATTTTACGGAAGGCCAGTTATGCCATTGCCAAATCACTACACAGCGATTTAATTACGCTGAAGAATGACAAAAAGTTCAAAAATAAATACAACAACATAAATCAGCTGAAATCATTCAATGATCTCGAAAATTTAAGACTGCCGGCACAAGAAAGACAAAGCTGGATGATGTCAGTGAATGACATTTATGGTGCTGCTAAAGTAGAAAGAAACTTGCAGTTCCTCAATGCAAAGTAGCTATTATATAAATTGAAAAATTTCAAGATAATAAGCTGAAGCTGATACTGCACATCTAAAGTATTTAATAGAAAAGGTCCTCGTATTGATATGAAGTACTTTGAAAATTTTCACCTCTAGTCAGTTGGATAGGACCTTGGAAAACTGGATTGATGCACAGGGACGTAACTTGGTCAATAGGTTTAAGGGGGGGGGGGGGAAAAGGGTTACTGCCCTGCAAAACTGAATGGTGCCCTGCAGACCTCAAAGCAAAGGTTTGTCTATAGGTTACTAGGGAAAGCTTTACAAGTGTACATTTGTCTTGTAAGTCACTTGTAAGCAATGAAAAAAAACTTGAAACTTCATTGCCTAAGAAATATCTATTTCTCTGTGTGAGCAGAAATGAAATGTCAAATTTGATTTTCCCTCGTAATAAAGCTTGTATCCCATGGCATATGATTTTTTTGAGGGTCTGGAAGTCAGGCTAGATGTGAACGAAATTTAGCCCCGGGGGGCTAAAAATCAAGTTTAGTGAGGTAGGAGGACCCACCATGGTTTGCTCCAATGTGAAAGAAAAATTTAATATATTTCTTGCAGAGTAGCCCCAACAATGATTCTCAGGGGCCATGTAATAAATTTTTCAAGGGGGAAGCTTACTCATAATAGTAACAATAATATGATTATTTATATAGGGTTGCCTTTTCATCAACAAAGGTGCTGTTATCAATAAGGGCCATGATATAAATCTCAATTCAATACAATTTAAATTCAATTAAATAAATATAGAATTTCTTTCCAGGCTGTATTTGCTTGAAACTGAGGAAACAATAAAAAATGAGGAATATTAAAATCTTAATGATTTGTTTTGAAAATAAATCAAATTAGTGTACATCTCTTTGCCAGTCACTCATGAATACCTGTTTAGGAAATGAACTAATCTAGGTTTCCTGTTTTTAGAAAAATCACAGACTATTTGCAAGAGCTCATCCAATATATACTCAATGTTTCTTTGTCAAGCATGATTTACCACTATCTATTTTTCCTTGTTTAAAATAACACAGAAAAGGGGAAATAAATTGCACTAAATTTCTTTTCCTTATACTGTTCCCACGGCATAAACACCTCACAAAATGTAGTTGGATGCCTTGTTTCTCTCCAATCATCGAACCCTTGCTTCTATTATGCAGTAGGTTTTTTAGAAATTGCTGGAATAACCTTTATCATTTGCCAGTAAAGATGTAACACTTTTTTTAGTAATCAAATCTACCGAAAATTAAAAAGAGTCAAAGGGCTAGAACTTTAGGATTTTTTGGTCTTCACGTAGTCAAATTTTTCGACCAAACGAAAAAACAGTAGTTTTATTGTTATGCTTCTTCTACTTCTACATGATTAATCGACTACTTCACGAAGAAGGTTATGTCAATGTAAAGGAAAAAAGAAATTAAAAAAAATAGGAAAAGGGGAAACACATAGGACAACAGCACATGCCATGATGAAATTTGGAGCTTGAAAAATTTTAGGCGTATGGTGATGACATTATTTTCGGTTCAGAGCTGGAATGCTTGCTCTTTCGCTACTTTCTGTATAGCTTTGTTCTTTATTCAACGTCCATACCCTGTGAAATGTCAGCTGAAAAGTACCTGAAAATGCCACATCTCCATTTTTTGGTCCTATCTTAAAATATTGTGGTACCAAAAGCTTAATTGTCGTTATTTTGTTTTACAGGAGCCCCAAGGAAATATGATCCAACATTCAATGGTCCCATTAAAAATAGGTATGCATTCGCTTTTTGCAGCCATAATTTTCTTCTAAACTTACACCCTCATAATATGACAAAGTGTTTGAAAAGTTGCTCAAGTGCTCCACACTTTTTGTTACTGTTTTGTGACATGAAATGGCGCGCAAAAGTAGTTAGTAGGCGACCACAAACTTGTCGTAGTGCATATAGTCACTGGATATTGCATTTCTTTAGATATTGGTTGGCCAATTCGATTGGGCAATTTGGCAGTGATATACCATTATCATATAATCCCACCCTAGAATATTAACTTACAGAATAAGAAGAGTTGATTTTAAGATGTGCTCAATCAGCTTTCTACTGAATAGGTCTTTTACAGGCATTCGTTTCTAAAATTTGGAGCCCAAATTATTTAACCTCTCTTGGGTCTCCTTTGAAGGCACTATGATGACATTTCGATGGCTATTTAAATTTACCATTAGTTGGGCTATATATTACACCATGATTAAACCTATATAAATACAGTATATATACCTTCGGGAATTTTTCATTCATTAACGCCCTGTAGAGCGGAGTACATTTTTGAGTAGGGTAGATATGTGGCTCTATACGAATTGGAAAGCTTTTGTGGTAGTTTTTCTCCATAATGTTATCTTTAAGGCCACCTCCTGAATATCATAGTTCGGCAAAAATTCAGGGGAGGGCTATATCCCCCCTCCCAGTACAGCTCCGGGGTGCCTGTACTTTGATTTGCAAATTATTTTTGGCTCTGTTGATAACGGTATAGGGACCGTATGATTTTGGATCTTTAAGATGTGTACACTGTCTACAAACATTGCAAATGCCTATTGAACGTATCTTCAGTGCTTGTGAAGGGCATTTAGCAAATATCTCCGCAAATGCTCTGCTTCTGGCTTTTCGACAATGATAGAAAGTAATAAATTGCTTGTCATATAATATAATTGATGATTTTGATATGAAAACGCTCAAATTGCATCTTGTTACTCTGTTACCACAGAACTCTTCAGCAGGCCTTTTCCCGTTTATTTACAGGGGTTGCACGGACATTATATGCTGTATTTTGTTCGTCTTGTACATTGTGGGAATGGTCATTGTTGGAGCCCTAGGTAAGTGAAGCTTTGCATAGAGGATTGATCTTAACGTTATCTCCATCCTAAACTTCTTATGCTGTATTTTTCCTTATTATATCTCTCTTTCCATGTTCTGTTGGATCGGATTTGTTCATTGAAGCTGCTAATTTGCCGTTTGTTTTTTTATAGCATTTGTTTGGGGAGATCCAATGAAACTCATTAACCCAACAGACAGTAAAGGTAAGCATTACAATGTCAATTTCTTGATAGCATTAATAAGCCTATCGAAGTCATGACTGATAATTTTTTCATTTTTATCATCATATGCTCGTCATAATACGATTTTCTCGTGACTGGGTTCAAGGTCTAATGGCGTCCCATCATTTTTTCTCTGTCACCTGAATTTGCCAGATTTATCATTTTTCGAGCATAGCCCGCAGTAAAATCCTCTAACCATGTCTTTTTTGTCTGCCCCTTGCTTTTAGACACCTCACCATGCCCTACACGTGCCTTGCAAGACTCAACTGCCTTCTTACTTGACTTGATTATCCCAATCTTCTGTTACGTTTTTTGGGGTTTTCCCATTTCTGGAGATTTCTTGTCTTTGTTTATATGGTGACATTTGCCTTCATCCGTCCTTTCCAGCCTTGATATTGCTGATGCTTTTATAGGCCAACATAAACATTTTATAACCATATGAATTTACATAACTTGAAATTGTACATGGAAAATAAGCGAATTGAGATAACAACTTTTCGAGCGTGTTTTCATGTTTTCAAGATGCAATTTGTAACCATGTCCATCACTTGACTTTTTCTCCAAGTTATGTCTTTTAATGCAAGTTTCAAAATGCATTTTTAACTGCAATAGTTGTTGCTACTATGAACTTTCTGTCCTATCCTTTGGTCAGCAGATTTCATGATTTAAATTGTGAATTTTCGGACTTTCCACAACGTATAAACAATTAAGGGAAAGAAGTTCAGTTTTGACTGGTTTATTCCTTTTACTTTTGCTGGTATCGCTTTACTAATATTCCTCTGGCTGGCATGGCTTTGCTATTGTTTATTAAAAAAAACTGAATATTGCTCGTGTAAGCTCTGTGGAGGTTACAGTAAACTCTGCGGAGGTTACTGAAGGTTTTCGAGGTTACCGATTAAACAAACTTGCTTTTTCGTAGGCCGAGTCTGTGGAAAGGATGCAGCAGTTGCGTAAGTTCACCTTTTGCTTTGAAAATTGGTTTCAATTCTGTTTAGTTTTGATTCAGTTTCATCTGATGAATACAGTTGTACACGTATGCTATGTTATAATATTGTTATCTTTGCAAGTATTATCTCGATCTTGTATTCCATATGAAAAAACCAATGTTGAGCATTAATAAAGCACTATGTAATCAGTTATTCTGAATACAAGCCTAACATACTGTGTACGTGTATTTACAAAAATGAAAAGTCTTGAGCGTAAAATGAAGCTAACTTTTTAAACCTAAAAGTAACTGGTAGTAATATATTATCTTATTGTAATTTTGGATTTAATAATTGTATTTTACTTAGATGACGTAGCGTGTAATTAATTGACTTGCTGAAAAAAATATTTTGAGTTTTTGAGTTTGCATTGTAATGCATTGGAGTCTAAAATTTCTTCGAGTAGCGAGGAACTCTTGAACGTGAATCTCAAGCTATGGAATATTTTTCTTATGTGGCCTTTTTTCCATTCTCCCTGGTCTATCTTTCTTCGGCGAAGTTTGCGTCCACAGATGTACTTCTAAATTATGTTAATATATGTGTCAACTTTTTTATGTATGTATGTATTCTGTCTAAATCATTTCCTTGTCTTATTTCTTTTCTTTGTGTTTTGATGATTGACTTTTATTAATGGTTTTCTAAACAAATGTTTCTAACTTCCTTTAATATCATAGGAGTAAGCCATACCTCTTCTATTTCGATTTGACGGAATGTGTCCCATCAGGCTTTGACGCTTCCACAGCTGTCGCAACGATCACAAATTGTCCCACATACACGGTAAGTGAATTTTTCACTTTGATTCAGGGGCGGACACTAAATCAATTATTTGAGGGCAAGCCTATTGTTTTGATAAGATGATATCACATTTCCCCATTGTTTTAGAACAAAAGACCACCGTATTCCAAAAAATTGGGGGTTGAACGTGATTCACCTCTCAGGTGTCTGCCCCCTTGCCCCCCAGGTGTCTGCCACTGCTTAATTCCCTAGAAACCTCGCCTATCAGTTATGAAGTTTCATCACCAAGTCAGGTTTCTCTGTGCTAGTGAATTTTTTGTAGGATGTATTGCTTCAAATTTTGTCCTTTTCGATCTCCATTCTCCATAGAGTGTTTTTACTTATATTCATAAATTAATAATGATATGCATTGATCAAAACCTGACTCAGATCATTTTCAGATAGCCCTTTCCAACAATTTTCCTTTTAATTGTCTTTTATTTCTTTACTCTCTTTACTTTCATGACATCACTTTCCCCCGTAGGTATGTGTTAGCAAATGCCCTGAAAAGAATACTGCCGCTTTGTTAGCCAAGAAAGATGAGATCATCTGTAAAGATGACCATGTCCCAGGCCTGGTATGTACTTACCACGTTGTCTTACTAATGCTCGTGTATTGCTCGTGAATTCCGCTGTTTTTTCTCCTTCTATCGACTTGCTAATGTATGCACACAATCTGAGAGAGCATGAAATCCCTGCCAAAAGTCTTGGTATATATGCTTATTTGAATTTTTTTCATATTTTCGATAGGAACGCGTATCCTTCTCGCGAATTTGGTAGCTGTATTTGTTGTCCAATTTATTCCTGTTTGGTTTTTGTGATAGCGAACTCTACTATCAACATTTGCTTTTGAATGTGGGGTCCTCTTTGATTCTTTTATGCCAGAAGCAATATTTAAAACCTCGCTTAAGCAACAGCATGCTCAAGGGATTTTGGCGAGGATTGTAGTTGTGAATCTTGAGCACAAGTGTACTACAACATTCAAAACCTAAAATTTAAATGATTCCCTGAACTGATCCAGTTCTGAGTCTTTATCTTAATATTTTTCAGTCTTTATCTTAATGTTGCTTCAACTAAAAGTTTCACTGTTTGAAAAATTCAAGAAGTGTTTTTTTGCAGTGACAGATGGTCTAGCGCTGCGCCAAAGAAAGCATTTTAAATGACTTTATTTACTGTTTCTCAATCGACCCTATTTTTTCACTGTTTCAGTGGGATTCCATGAGTTACAGTCAAAAGAAATACGAAATTTTTACGAATAAATCTTGTGCACCATACACGTTGCAAAGTAGCGATGGTAAGTGCAGTGCTGGCATTTATAAGTTACCGTTATTTTCTTTAATTGCATTTAAATCATGTCAGTTAGTTCATTGTGAGAAATGTTAGTAAAGGGGTAGGCATGTGGTCAACTTTGAATTGCTGCATCAGAAAAATTTTGCTTCATGAAGATCACTACAAAACGTGTTACTTGGTGATGCTCTTTATTGTGAATGAAGTGCAATCCATTTCCTTGGAGGCAGAGTTTGTAAAAAGATGGAATATTCGGTTCTCATTGTGTAAAAGAAGCATGTTTAGGTGTTGTTTGTTATGTTGCCAGGTTTATCACTGAAATAAAGTAAAATTTAAATAAAATTGTTAAGGACTTCTTTCGCATAGCGATCGTACTTTTTAATTAGGCTAGCACTCTTACCACTCATGTGTAATGTCGTTAACCTATTTCCAGTTGTGTCCAGATGCATACCAACAGTTATTGGAACTACTCTCTCAAGCTTTTTGTCGACAAACAAAGGAAGTCTTAGTGAAGATGGGAGCAAGAATATAACGCAGAAAGATGTTGAAAATGGCAATATGTAAGATTATCCCTTCATTGCTACTATTGATGCGCACAATCTTCAAAGCATGCGAAACTCTACAGGAAAATGTGGAGGAGATGAAACTATTATGTGGGAAAGAGGGTTAAGCTCCAGCGAATTGAGTATACGGATCATTATGGTTTCCCTGGAGAAAAGCAGATTCATATATTTATCTGTAGAGATTATCTTTGCTAAGAGAAAGAATTAATTCAAAAATTATCCGATGAATGATAAGACTTAGATAAGTTTGGACATCCTCATCTAATTGGAAATATGTTAGTTATTTCATGATATTAACAGGCATTGTTAAGTTGTGCGAAATGAATGAAGCCATGATCTTACAATTTCGGAAAGATTTCCCACTGATTTCTTTGCTCTTCTGTTATATTTTTCATATTGCAATTCGGAGTATTTCTTATTAAATAATACTACTTCGTATGTTGAATTGTCTATATAGTCGCGTATGATTTTGATTACAGAGCAGCTGCAATCTTGCTGAATCTTCAAAATCTTGGAAAGAAGGTGCGTGGAATGATAATTCTTTAGTATTTAGGCCTAAGAAATCTGTTGTTGTCTGTGTATGTACGATTTGCTTCTATCAATTTTTACAGAGGAAATCAGAAAGCATCTGATGCTGCTGTTCCAGGGATGTTTTGCAAATACATTCGTTATAAGTTCTAAAAAGGCAGCTGTCATTTAACAGTAAACAACACAGTTTTGATGGAACCATTTTTGACGACGAACCAATTTGTTTGCACGAGAAGGATCAATGAAAAAGACTGTGCTTGAACATGGTCGAAATAAACCGAAGTAAATTATCACACGGCCAGCGCATTTCAGGAAACCAATTGTTTCTTATATGTTGTTTCTCGATTTTTTTAGGTCATCCAAGATGTTCAGACTTCCTGGTACTGGATTTTAGCGTAAGTTTTCTTCTGTCTCTTATTTTTGCTTCAGTCAGGCTTATTTCTAAATCCTCAGTGATCCTATATGATGATACCTTTGCCATCTAGATATGTACATGCATGCTTACCTCCAAAGAAGATTGGACAGTATTTAAATGACTTGTTTTAACGTTACATTAACCAGTTCACAAGTATTTAATACACCATTCAATGCTAGTTCGAAATGGTTATAACTTGCTCTTATTGGACATTATAAGCATAATAACATAAACAATTTATTTAAAGTTGGCAGAGAAAATGGCGTTTAGCTAATTATGGTCAACTATACAAAATATACAAATTACAAAATATACTAATTTGCAGCTGCAGTCCAATGTTTTGATGGACTTAATATTTCTTTTAGATATTCCTAATGATCGGGACTCTTTTTTTAGGGGCCTTGGAATTGCAATGGTTGCGTCCTTTCTCTACATTTTAGTTATGCGGTAAACACAGCATTTTTTGTTATTTTTAACATTATGTCTTTACTTATACATATTTTTGTCAATTGTTTATTGCTCGATGTCCCCGCATCTTTTAAACTGTTGACCCTCTGACTGCTCATGTCTGTTGTGTTCACTGTCACTACATGATTTATTTTCAAACCTAGAATGGTTATTCAACTAGTCTATCTTTGACCTCTTTTAGTTTTCAAGACCATTTAATGTTTGTCTTTGTAAAGCAGTCGAGTAATGAAATCCTTGTTACTTCTTGTTTTTTTGTTGTTAAGAAGTGTCCAGTCATGTTGGCAGTCTCTTCAGAATGCTACATGAAATGTATCTTCTTTTTCCTGTATTTGTTATTTTTTTTTAATTCAGATGGGTTGCTGGCATCCTTGTGTGGCTAACCACTTATGCAGTGCTAACTCTTATTGGATACGGTAAGTTCGTCTTAATTTGCCAACTAAACCCTGGTAAATATGGTTTTGCAGGCATATGAAATGTGCTCGATTTTTTTATAAGATTCCTTCATGTCTTTTTTTTGGGAGCAAAAAACTGCCATCATCATCCCCCATTTTACGCAATCAAATCGCATGCGCTTCTCCTATTTGTGGTTGTGGTTATCTTTAATTCTCCCTTCAAGTTTTATATACAAGAAAAATATGGTGTGTCTGTCTCACATCTTTCCTGAAGATTGGAAACTACATCAAGATTAATACTGCTGTTAAGAACTGTTTTTACGTTCGAGAAGAGAGTGCAATGTCGCTTGTGGTTGATTTCTAAAAAGGTGCACAGATATCTGCATATTAGAAGATTATCTCCAGAAATAAAAAGAAGCTTTTCGTTTCATTAATTTGACTCAGCTTCTTAAGATAACAGTTAGTATTTTCAAAAAGAGGATTGCTTATCAAGATTGGGAATCTGTGGTTTCGTCAATAAATCTTTTCACAAAGGAAACGTTATGATCCCCACTTTGTAATACTAATGTATTTTCATTTCAAACATTCTTTTCATTTACATGTCATCCTTATTCACGGGACATACCGTTGTGACTCACAAATTTGCTTTCTAAATTTAGTTTGGCCCACCAACCCTTACCGTTAGAATTGATAGATGTTTATCTAAATTTAATACTAGCTGTTTTGTGGTAACTTCATATGTCTACCAGCACAATGATTAGGCGCTTTCGCTTCCACTGATCAGCAAAACAACAATGTTACTGTAGTGAATCTGTCCATAGAGAAGGGTGAATCTTTAATCCTACTCAGTCATCTTATGTTTTCTGTGATTAGGTAAGTATTAGGGGGCATTCCTAGAATTCTTGTCTGGTCAGTTTATGGTGAAATACACCGACAATGGTTTGGATGCAGATCGGATGCGGCCCAAAATATAATCTGTGTTTTTTTGGACGCCAAAATATATCACTTGAAGTCACATAATGTTAAACATTCTCCTTCGATCGGTATTTTTATCATGTTGGAAGGAAATTTCTATTAAAATGTTTATTTTGCAAAATTTCATTGCATTATCAAACTTATGTTGTCCAAAATTTTTACTGGAAGAATCCGGATTCAAACATATATATATATCTATTAATGGATAAGATAAGGCAATTGGGTTAATTTATTGTCTGCTGAGCTTTCTTGCAATGAAAATAATAATCAAAGCTAAACTTTTGCACTCTACTGTTTTCAAATTTATGACATCGCCAAATTCACGGAACTGATAAAGTTGAGTTTATGTTTTGCAAATCCTGTTGTGGACCGCTAAGCATAAAAAAGTCGAGCAAAAAGCAGTTGATCACTTTGTTGATTTCATAGAGAAAGGTTAAAATTAGTGAAGTTGAACCCAAATATTAGTTGTTGGAGGCAAAACCTGGCGGCGAAATGTACAAAATGGTTGTTTGCGACCAGTGAAGTAAACTAGGTTTTCGTATGCGTATGACTGGAAACTTAAGCTGCTACTCATAGATTTTCCGAAGTTCGTCATCTACATAAGATGTTTTAGTTACCTGAAGATCGAATTAAGCGTAAAACTCGGAGTTGCAACGTATAGTCGTCCTGTTCTGCGCATCGCATTAAGCGTTTACAGGTCTGCATATCCGGCATCAAGCAATTTATGACAGACCACAGTAAACACTGTATGACAGACCACAGTAAACACTGTATGACAGACCACAGTAAACACTGTATGACAGACCATGTAATTTTCATTAAAATGTTTTCTGCTTAAATTGATTATAGTGCGGTGAATTTACATCGGATTTTTTCAAACAGAGCAAAGTGGCTTACCATTTAATTAAAGCGACATGAATTTGAAAAGCTGACATGTGAGGCAAATTTGCTCAAAATCCATCGATTAGGTTTATATATTTATGGAATGAAAACATCATCAACTTACGGCCGAGTTCTTAGTCTAGGTGGTCCTTTAGTTTTGAGTTTCGTAGCAGAAGGAAATTGGTAGAATTGCATTTTCTTTGTTTCTTAAAAAAGCAGCTTGCTAATTATCTCTCCTTTACCAACAAAATATCGTCGATTCATTTCCGTCGTATCAAACATTGTCACCCCATACTGTCATGACGCATTGCTCATTTGAGGGTGACAGCAGATAGCGTTTTGCCATAATTCATAACTGTTCTTTTGCACCTAATTTCATAAATTGACTTTTTCAAATTGTGGCCCAAAGTTGATCCTTTTTCTATCTTTCGTAAAAATAGGATAACTATTTTGGCAACTGGCAATAACACCCTCTAATATTCAAAAACTGTATTAGGGTTCCCAAAAATGTTTTTGTTTACGAAATTTGATCAATATCGTTTCATTTTTATTGTGTTTTATTGTGTTCATATTTTGTATCAAATTTTACAAAAAATTTGTTTGTTAGTTTTCTACTTTTTTCGAAAGTAAAATATCAAAGTAGTGTTACACTAAATCAATTTTTGATTTCAAAAAAAAAATGTTTTTTCGGTGAAAGTGAAAGTAAGTGAAACATTTTTTTCTTCCCTTATCGTCAGTTCCCAATTTGCATCTTTAATTGTTGGCAAACTTTTGTCCTAGGTACTTACTATTGTTACAATGAATACGATCGTTTGAAGAAGATGGACTCAAATCAAAGCTTGCAATTTCAGTTCTCCACCAATCTATCTTCCTACAAAGACAAAAAAGAGACATGGCTGGCCTTTAGTAAGTCTCAGTCTTGCCCATTCTATTAATTTTAATTTTAGCTCAATATTTTTGATATTAATATTTTATCTCTTTGCTTTCTTTTAATTTTTGCATTTGATTAATCCAGTTATAGATTCTGTCTGTCAACCTTTCATTTCACCCTCTTTCATTTGATAAATAAAGATTTTTTTGTCTTTTTCGATTTGCAGATAAAAACTTTATCATATTGCAATGCTTTCTTAAGCTCAATTCACACTAGACGCATTTTTTTGCCGCTGCCCAAATAAGGTTCGCGTTTTTTGACGAATTGCGTCCGCATCGCGTTTTTTGGGCAATGCGTCACAATGCGGCAAAGTTGGATTTATCGCTGTGTGATGCGCCGCGACGCACCGCTACTAGTGTGAATTCAGTTTTATTCTAACCATATTCGTAGGTCACATGATTAAAACTGGTGCACAAGCTAATTTTGATATGGTGGATGCTGATGTTTAAGTGCGCAGACAAGCCTCAAACTCAGAACTCAAAATCTTTTTCACAGCATCAACAGGTTAATCACATTATACTGAAATATAAAAAGGAAAAATATTGGGTATTAATACAATAATAAGAAAACTTTCGAAGACGATATATCGTAAACTTGTTGGCTGAAGGATACATGGAAAAAACTAAAAATGAACTATCGAGTCAATCAAGATTTTATCTGGAGGCCATGTATCCTATTGGAGGGGTTTATATTTAGAAGCCACTAAGATTTTGATTGAATCGTTAAAAGAAAGTAATGAGTAAAATTTGAAGTGAAAATCAGAACAAAAAAATAACAATATGAAATAATACTAAAACAGAAGTAGCGAAATAAAATAATAAAGTTATACCGCTATACCAACTGATTGTAAATCTACTGTTTTTGGAGCCACAACAAGCTCAGGTGTCCCAGCTTTTGACACGCAATCAGCATTCACAGTATCAGCTGGCAGTATACCCAGCGAATAGTTAAGATTTTATATTTTTGTCGGAAAAAACTAGACGAACTGTTAAACGACGAGTTTTTTTCCGACGCGGATGGCTTAATATCAGAGAACTCAGTTGTGCAATTTGCAAAAAGCACTACAACAAGAAAAGTGGCTGTTTCTTCAAGAAAAGCGAAGAAGAAGCAAGACATCGGTGTTGCCAGTGCAGCTGGCCTATCCGCCTGCTTGTGTTCAATTATGAAATTTGTAAAATTTTCGCAAACTGATTTGCAACAAAATAGCTGCTAACACAGGTCTGCGCACAGGCTACGGCTATCCAGAAGCCCTTCAAAAAGCTATTTTTCATCACCAATTTCATTTTAACGGACTCTTTGAAACAATAATTATTGGAATGCTATGCAGTCTTATCGGACGGTAGCGATGGCGAACAGTTTTTTTCTACTTTTTTACGGTACGGTTTTGCAGTTTGCAAATATTCTCATTCCAAATTGTACAGCCAGCTCTTTTAACTTCTTTTTGTAGAAAAATTTGAGAGACAAATTGTACAGCTTCTCCAGGAGACCACAGCAAGTGGCCTTAGAAAAACCATTGCTTATGAGCGATAAAGATTTCGATTGTCTACAATTCTTATCTGGCTAGGTTGAACACAAATTTTTGAAAAACAAGATACAGCCCAAAATACGAATATGACATTAACCAGACTTTAATTAGGTTGGTGGAGAGCTTCATTAAAGAACGGCCTGTGTCCCAAGGACTGATAAAACCAAGATTAGGTTTGATAAGGGCTAAAAATGAAATTGAGAAATCTTTACTCAAGCAGAGACAGAATGTCTTTCGCAGATACACACTTTGCCATTCTTCAAACGTTCTCTGAAATTAGCATCGATTTCACGATATTTTAATCCAAGATATTCCTTCGCCGTTTCGAATAAAAACGTTTCTCTTCCTTCAATTCACATTTATCATACGCACAGTTAGCTCCAGGCATGTTAATAATATAGCATACTTGATAACCTGATGATAAGTTGAAAATATCATGTTAAAACGACACGCAAATTAGAAATTTGAACTCTGCCGAGCGAAAGCTCATTTTGATCATGTGACATCGTTAAAATGAAATAAAAAGTTAGAAGAATGGTCTTCCAGACCAGATATTTTTCTATTGCCTACGTTCTAACGTTCCTCAAACTTCGTTTCTTGTTCATTATTTGATAGGTAAAGGCAAAGTGGAGGATTTTACATCACTTTCGCTCTTTGTCTCAAGGATTAATTTTGAAGTGAAACTGAATGAATACAAATATACTTAGCTTTCATTTTTTCTTTTATTTGTCAGCTATTATTCTTGGCGTCACTCTTGGAATTCTTCTCCTACTGCTTTTGGCATTAAGATCACGAATTCGTATCGCAATTCAAATCATCAAGGAAGCCAGCAAGTATGTTTAAAAACCTTTATTTTTTTGGACCAAACAGTTCGTCTTATGCTAGATAAATCAAAAGATAACTGTTGTATATTTAACTGTAATTTTTTTGACACCAATTGTCGTTCCAACCAACTTTCATCTTTTCAGATCATTTTTTAAGTAATGGAGTGGCTCAAAGCTCTTTTAAAGGATTTATGCCACCTACTTTACTCTTTCTTATTTTATTGAAAGTTAGCTAGAGTTTAAGGTTGCTTGAGCAATTTTTGTTTTTTTGCTATGATTTTATTATCTTATTGGTTCAGCAAGTGATTAATAAAAGCTGAGAATAGAATATTTTTATAATGGTTTGTTTTATTCAGCCAAGGGAAAGGTAATGGAGAAGGAGAATTACCTATCCCCTAAATAATTAAATATTCGACTTCAACTATGCTTCCTATACCAGGAACATAAGTGATTATATTTCCTAAAAAGTTATTTTCTAAGAAAATACGTATTTCAGTAGGGGCTGCCCTGTTCGTTTTCTTCTAAATGAAACTTGCTGGGAATACGTCTATTTTTAATTTGATACAAACAATGGCGGAATCTCAGCTTTTCATTTACTGGGCTCGAGCCTACAAGCCTCGTTCCGACACATTGAGCATTTGTCAAATATCCACGGAAAGCCAAATTTTCTGACGCAAAAGCCCAAGTCCCTCATGCCCTCCAACACTTCCTGAACTGGATACCACAAGCATCGCGTTTTACTCGCAAAATCCATGCCTTCCTCATTCCTTGGAAAATGTGTGGTGTGTTAAGTTTTTTTCTCCCGACAGTACTGAAGCCCGTTTTGTCGAAGTGCAATACGGTATAATTTTCAGACAGGAAATTTATAGACAGGACAATACGGTATAATTTTCCAACTTATAAAGATTTCTTTACTTTGAACGAACTAATTACTATTCACAAAGTATTCGTCCTGTTTGGATAAAAATTCGAGACCTCCTTCGCCAGGAAGCCTTATTTAAAATGTCACAAAATTCCGCCACACCCCCCAAAAAATCGGAAATTCATAATTCTTATCATCCCAGGGGAAATACGTTGCATAGATTTGCAAATATACTGCTTCAGGCATTGCGATCTCATATTTTCCTTGCACAATCTATTTTATACAGTGAAACATGAAATGTTCTCCTTCGACCCCCAATTTCTTGAAAACGCCTCCTCCCACGCCCGACCAACATTCAGATTCATATTATACGCTCAAAACTATCTCAGAAAAACATCATTCAGTATTTGTCCTCGCGGGGGAGGGGGGCAATGCTCCCCTTTCAACAACTGGTGCAATGCTTTTAATGCCGAGATTGTCGACTTCAATTTCACAGCTTCACGTGATACGTTACCTGCAAAAATTTAAACGGCCGTTTTGGGGTCTTACAAACCCCAGATCATGGCAATTATTGCAGACATGTTCACATAACTATAACTTACAAGTATCAAGGGAGAACAATTTGGCGCCAAATTAGGTGGCATAAGTCCTTTAATGATTTTCAACAAAGCGCATCTGCTTGTGTTTAATCTTTTGAACCCGATCATGAATCTTATTTGAAATGTTCGCCATTTTGTAAATATAATATAATAATATAATATAAGTAATTTATTTACAGTAGGCGTTCTTTATAGAAGTAGCTAAAAGATAAGCTACTTAAAGCCTACTATTTACAGGAATACAAATGATAATATTAAACAGTGATATAAAAGCTATTTAAAGAAATGAATTAAAACACCTAGGATTTACTTAGATAAATAGTTGAAATAATCACGTTAGATAATTCATGTCAAGAACCCGACCTGTGCTACAAAGGTTCTACATAGCCTGCAATTGCAATTATCCTTCCATTGTTTGATCTTTACTTTAAAGGTATTAAGAGTTTTTGGGATTTTTATTAATTTACTGTTTCTAAGGTGGTAGTGGCTTCTCTTTTGTATGAATATTTCATTCATAAAACTTAGCTTGAGTTTACGTACAGTTTTGTAGATCTCAATCATTAGTAGCTGCAGGTTTCTTTTGTGAAAGGACACACAGTTGTTTTCAATCAGAAGAGTATCAAAATCCGACACCTTGTTTTTGCATGCGATAAGCAGTGCCTTTTCATGTATATGGTTTGTGTTATTATTTAGGGTTTTGTCACAGAACATCCATACAAGTGGGCAATAGCTTAATTGGGATAGAATAAATGTTTGTTTGAGTTGTTCTGTGCTAGGGCGTGTAGTTTTTGACTAGCCTTTTTACCGAGTGTTTTTATGTGTGGCTTAAATTAGAGTTTCGTTGATTAGGTTGTTGTCTATTTGTATGGCTAAGTCATTACTTTGATTGCCAATGGTCATTAAATGGCATTTGTCCCCATTTAACTTCATACAGTTGTCTTTAAACCATTCTGCAACTGTCGATGAATTTTTCTCTAATTTTTCAATTACTTGTGAGGGGTTAATGTTGCGCGCATAGAGAGTTGTGTCCTGTGCATAGTTGTATATCTCTATGTTTGTTACAAACATAAGCAGATCGTTAATGTAAATATTAAATAAGAGAGGCCCTAGAACTGACCCTTGTGGAACACCCTTGTCGATTTCTTTCCATTCACTGAAGGATCCATTTACTTTCAGGTTTTTCTGCTGAATCTATATGCATTGAGCTATGTAGCTACCTTTTTCGTGAAATTTGAAACTGTTCTCGTGTGTTTCTTTTCAATCTTTCAATACTGTATCAAGGTAACAGAAGTAAGAATTTCATTGCTTGTCGCTGTCAACATATGCCTTTTTGCAGGGCCATTTCAAGAATGATCTCAACACTGTTCTTCCCTATCATTCCTTGGATTTTTCAAGTTATTCTCTTCACGTGGTTTGTCGGTGTACTTACGTATCCTTTTCATGTTTTCAAGAAGAAATGTTAAGTAACTTAAACTTAGGAATTCACCAAAACCTTTTATTACAAAAGAATTACCATTCATCCTTAAAAACAAGATTTTTAGGTTGAGTAGCAAATCAGTTCTTCTGTGTAGTGCTTGGCAAAACAACACAACTATTTTATACTCTTCAACCGGATATTGTTTTTTATACAAAGTTAAGAGGCTCTGTGTCGTCCAATGGATTCATTTCTGGTTGCTATAATATGCTCTTTAAAACCAACATTTTTCGGGAGGAGAGGGGAGGCAGTTTTTGTATTTTTTAACAAAAGCGGTTAATTTTGTTAAAACAATACTTAAACAATTTGATGTTGCAAGAATTTTGGCTGGGATTGTTGCGGGTAAACATGATGTGTAGTTAGTCAAAACGTTTTAAGAATAATGTATTGAAATTTGTCAGTGCAATTGTTTTGTTTTGGTGATTGCTTACGATCTAGCTCTACTTTTGCAATTTTGCAAGACAACACACAGACAAGCTGTGAAGCAGTTAATTTATTTTATACTATAAATCATATTTGATCGCCAGTAAAAGCCATACCAGATGTTCAAATTGAAGCATCAAGCGCACCAAGCATTCATCCTGGTGACGTTTTTTATACCTTGCAGAAACTGATGATGTCTTTGTTGAAAAAGTTTCCTTAACCTTTGATAAGATACTTGGTCACGTCAGGAGATGCCAGTTACAAGCAAGTTAAAAACGGGACCGTTACGACTGCTCTTTGTAAAGCTGCGGTTAGCATTACCAAATATTTTAAATTCTGAATGAAAAATTTAAAATAGCTTAATTAATACAATGGACTGCTTGGCTCAAAGAATAATTTATTGTTCTTTGCTACAATTTTTAACGTGAGCATGGCATTAAAACATGTTATCACCCTAGTAAACCATTTTGCTTTCAAACAGACGTATTTAGATTTTCCAAGAAAATTGTCAATGAAATGGAAGATTTTGGCCTGATTTGCCTGATTTGTTAATTTCTTTGTTAATTTCTTTAGGACGCCTTGAGTTCGGTAAACGACCAAAATGTTTCTTGCAATTTCATCGAATACAAGACAAACGAGTAAGTATAGCTTTAATCATTTGTAATCAGAGAATTAACTGTTATCTGTAATTCGGATGTACTTTAATATTTCCTTATGAAGATATTTCCTTACCTTTTGAAATTCACAATTAAACATGAAAACAAGGATGAAAAATCCAGAGACATGCTTTTATTACCCCATGTTTACAATCAATGCAAAGACATTCACCTGTGCGCTTTTCCCAACATTCGATGAAAATCACTGTTTAAAATCGTCGACACCTTTGCTATTTCAATTTTTTTATTTATGCGGTCTCAAGTCTGTTGTCGTCTACTCTGTTATTTTCTGCCCTGGATGCTTTGTAAGCCCTCTGTACTTGGTCCGTACTTTATTAAGAGATTTCATTGTAAGCTGAACTTGGAATGAAAATGTTGACTCAGACAACGTAAATCATTTAAGCTTGCTTGTTATCATGGAAAGTCTAACTATTGAAATGTTCTTTGAAATGTTGTTTATCTCGCAAATATTTCAGTCATTTCATAATACTCGACACAGATATACTTTTGATCAAAAATAACTAACTGTTGCTAAAAAGTCTTAGACCCACCAGCTTTGCAAATTTTAGATAGCACCTTTGAATGTGATGGTCAGATTTGTCGTTATCCAGTCGGATGTAGCGGGATGAATTTTTTGAGAAATGGTCATAAAGCATACCTTGCCCTAAACTAAATTCGATTGGTCTTTTCTTAAAGTAAATACGATTGCTTTTTGTAAAGATCTACTCGTACTTTTCCTCACAGCAATCTCCTGCGGATGCAAGTCTTTCACCTCTTTGGATGGTTCTGGCTGATGAATTTCATTGTCGCCTTTGGACAGTGCGTTCTTGCAGGGGCGTTCGCCTCTTGGTACTGGGCATGGGATAAAAAAACTGTAAGAATATTTGCCTTGTTTTTCTTTAGTTAAGTTCACTCCTAATTTTGCCTTCTAGAGTTTTTAGTCCCAAAGTTTCAATGTTGCAAATATTTGTGCATTTAAGTGAATCCAGCTTCAAAAAAGGATAAAAATATCTTATTTCTAGTGCAAAAGTCGAACTTTTTGTTCCTTGTTGTATTCGGAGAGGCAAGATGTTAACTTGAAGTTGATCATTGCTTTTACCGTTGGCACTCAGACGCAAAATGAAATCTATGAACTCATTCTAATTAATATCTGCATATGCACCAATGTTCGGTGCAGCTGTTGGTTGTTGAAAGCCAATCATTAATAACATGACGTCAGAGAAGTTCGTTTGTGCGTGCATCTGGTATTTTCAATGAAATATAGTTTTTATGAAGTTTAGTATAAAGGATATTTGCTAATAAAAGGATGCTTATTTTGAAAACCTTTTTAAGTTAGATCATAGCGATTCCTCAATGTTTGCTAACTTTTTTACCAATCTTAGCCAAAATATTTAAGCAACACATATCGAAATTTTAGGATGTTCCAACACTGCCTCTTCTTGCATCAATGGGACGAACTCTGAGGTACTTTTTAAATTTTTCAGTGAAAATAACATTCTAGAATAGGGACTTCCTCTAGCAACCTACCATTTTTAGAAACTTTTGAATGACCTTCAAAGAAAAAGTTGAACTTTGCATTTCCTGATGGTTAAGTGATTATACTCAGTAAACATTGATGTTTGAGATATTTGCAGTAATACAAAATAAACACATAATCTACGTATGTATGTAATAAAGATAGATGTTTTATCTCTCTGGCATATTGTGCTCGATGGCCTATTGGTAGAGCTGTACATGTTGTTATGTTAAGAGCAAGACAGCTGTAAGTTGTAACTAGAAGGTTGACGCTTAAGCCAAATGTTATATCAAATATTTAAAATTTCTTAACAAAGGAGGTAGTTTAACAGTGTACAGATGTTCTTTCAATTGCAGGCTGGAAATTATATCTTTCGTATTAAACTGCAGTCTAGTTAAACTAGAATAGGAATTTATTTGAACTATTGTTGTAGATACCACACCGGATCCCTTGCTTTTGGTTCATTGATCATTGCCATCATCCAGCTAATCAGAGCTGGACTGGAATACTTGGACCACAAATTAAATGGTATGTGTTGTTATGCTCCTGATCAGTAGAGGTAATGGCCTTGTCAAAGAAGCCAAAATTACGCCTTTTGGAAAAGTTCTGTGGAAACAGAAACGATACCATTCATATAAGCCAGCTAAGAAATACTTTTTTTGAGGATTACTTATGAGTCTTTTCAGAGCTTTTCTGCTCTTTAGATAACTTCTTGGTTGACTCGTTTATTCTTTTAGTCCATAGTGAAGTATGTGTTTTATTGACGGAAATTGGCGCCTCTTGCACCACACAGCTTAGAAATTCAAGGAGAAATAGTTGCCTTTTCTTCTTTGATTTCATGCTCATATAGCTTGATATCAAGCATAGCTTGATATGATAAAAACTGTTGTTCCCTTTTAAGGTTACGGTAAACGTTTTGAACACGAAAATTGGTTTTTCCTTCCTAAAGGCCAAACGGCTCAAAGAATCTGGATAAACTATATATCATTCGATGCACAAGATTATGGCGTATCTAGCCAGATAAAAATTATTGGCAAATAATGTTAAATGTTATTTTCCATGCGAATTTACTGGTCAAAAAGTGTACCACTTTCAAAAGCTATTATGTACCCTTGCGTCTGAGGTAACAAAATCTGACTTAGACCAGCAGGAAGTGCAGGTCCTAAGCTACCAAAGTGTGTCTCAGATTTTTTAAATTCCTCCTCTTCTTGAAACTATACCCTGTCAAAATTTGGCAAATAATTTTTCCACCCTCCCGCAGCTTCATTTGGGTATAAAAGACGGACCAGAGAAAATAAAACAATTTTGAGACACACTTTGTTTGCCCAACGTCTGCCCTGGCCGTGTGCAAATTTTCGAGCCATTCGATGGGTTCCTTAGGTACATAATAGCTTTTTCGTACCTGCATGTAAAGGAATTTCGAGTCCGGAGAAAACGGGATTTTACTGATCGCACTTGCAAGATACACTCGTAAACCACAGTGTAATCCGGGTCAAGTCACTTGAAGATTTAAGATCAATAAGCCTGTTTAAATAAACACGGCCGTACATTAGGTATATGGATGTGCCATGCGATATTGTAAATGAGACATGCGACTACAACCGCAAAGCAACGATAATCGGCTTAAAAGGTCAAGAGATTTTCAGGCCTCAACTAAAAATTTTGATAAAGAAATTATGGAAACCTTCGTTTACATGGGATTTTTTCCACTTTCAAAATTTCTGTTTGTTTCAAATTTGGTATCATTGTGTGCCTTGAAAGTTCGGCTACTTGAATGTGAAAAAATCTAAGAAATGATGTTTTCATCCAGAAAACGTTTACCGTAACCTTAAACCATTTTGCCGTTATCAACAACATCTTTTCAATTCTGTGCGCAGGACCTGGAACTCAGCCAGGACCAGTTACAAAGTTCCTTATCAAGTAAATGCATTTCTTTTTCTATCTCTGCTACAATATTTGAAATTTTCTTAAAAGAGTTGTTTATATTTGAAACTGTGTCATCGTGGTATTTTTGTAAATTTTGTCCTGTTTTTGGAATTCGTTTTTTTTAGTTGCCAAATCATTTACACCACCGGTGTACCGTTCTAAGCTCAAGGGGTGCGGGAAACCCTGCGTTTATGCGCTAGATCCTTGATTCCATATTGTCCTATGGTGGACTTCCATAGAAAAGTATTTTGCCTTCTCATTTTCAATGTTAATTGTTTTTCGATACAAGAAAACTTTTTTCTCGTTCATAACTTTCTTAACTTCTTCCCAGGTGTCTCAAGTGCTGTTTCTGGTGCTTTGAAAAGTTCATCAAATTCTTGAACAAGAATGCTTATATCGAGGTTTGTCATTGGTCCTTATTTCATTTTACTTCAATTCCATTTTAATGAAAAAATTTATTAGGTGAAGTTTACCAGCTACAGATTTGATTATGTTATTTCTCTATTACTACTAAGCTTCCCATGTCGAGTAGTGTCCTGGTTCTTCCTCTCGATGAGGGTAAACGGTTTTTTACAATTAGAGATAAAGAAGATTTTTTTTAAAAACGATCTAGACGATTTTGATTAATCAAGAGAAAATACTTGTTACTGTATGTTAAAAACCCTAACAGTATTTAAATGTTGTAGATGTAATGCTTTCGTATACGAACTGAATTATTGACGTATTCCATCGGTCATTATGCATCAAAAAAATCCAGTGAGACTGCTTGGTTGTTTTCAAGCTTATTTCAAAGGTTAAATGATGTTTCAATGAATATTAACCACAGTTAATTTGACGAGGGGCTTTTGACCTTCAACTAATTTGCATGGGTTTGTTATTGTTTGGAATCCGATACTCTCTTGTTCCACGCGTTTTTCCATGTATCCGCTCTGCTAGTTTATCTGCAATACGGGGGAGTCTATTGCCCTCCTGAGGACTTTTTTGTAATACAAGGGCAAGGTTTGTTGCTCGTAGTGTTTTCATTCCCTTTGCATAACCTAGAAGTATTTAAGTTTGGCATAGAGCGAGTCTCAAGCTTCAATATAACTGCGCTGTTTATACTTCCCAGCCCTCCTTTCCTCATTTTGTTTCTTTATGTAGAAATCGCTTTTCTGTATAGCTTTGAACTTTGAGTTTCTTTTTACGTAATCGTTAAAACCTCTCATACCTTTAGGCATCCTGTATGCTGTTTGGCGTTTTTGTTGCTATTAGGGAGGACTGGTACATCGGCTCATAGTTGGCAAAAAGCTTTTCTTCTCCATTCCCTCTCCATTATCAATCAAATTTTGGATTTATTTTGTAACTTCCCTTAGTAACCACTTCCTGTTAGAAGTTTGGTTGTGCGATTTGCACCGATGCACCACCGGCCTTACTCGCTCTCGATGATGTGGGAACGTAACTTCATGACTGAATTCTTGATGTCCATGGCATGTTTTTCTGAAGGGGGGTTTTTGCCCTTAGTTTATATTGGTATTTGATTCCCAAGTTAAACAATTAAGTTGCATATATCTCGCTTTAGATTGCGGTATATGGAAAAAACTTCTGCACGTCTGCAAAGAACGCATTCCTGTTGCTTATGCGAAATGTGATCAGGTAATACCTTGTATATTGATGAAAATGACTTGAAATTTCACTTTGGCGAAAGATGTCTTGAAGTCCTGCATTTCTTGACCTTTTTCTTCTAGTTAATTTTATAATGTATATGCGTGCCAAAATAAAATTTAATGACTTCCTTTCTTCGAACTTGACACGAATTTAGCTTTATACCTGAGCCTAAGTTAATGTCTTTTTCGTTTCCTTCCTTGAATTGAGCTCAATTTAATCTTTTCACTTATTGAGACTGTATTTCTTCTTTAGAGTCGTTGTGTTGGACAAAGTCACCGACTTCTTGCTATTTATTGGCAAACTGACAGTTGTCATGGGAATAGGTGAGTTTTTTGTTGTCGTTTGTTTTTTGACTTTCTTTCTTTGCTTTCTTTTTTTTCCTTTTCTTTGTTCATTTTAGCCTTTTTTGTTTTTTTTGTTAAACGCTTCGATATTGACAAAATATGTTTTTTTGGGTGGTGAAATTTGCTACTTATCTTGGTCTGCAATTAATTTGGCCTAATGTCAAATTTTCTGTATGAATTTGAATTTGCCGACTTTTGGAGTTCTTTTTGATTCATCCATAGTTTTTCCTCTGTATCTTTATTCGCAATGCTTATTAAGGTTGCAATCTGACCTGTCACAATAGCTGGTCGTTTTTAACAACTCTCTTCAATCCCGACTTCTCTTCATTTTCAACTTTCATTTGGATTTCAGCTGTTGGCAGCTTCTACTGGTTCAAAGACCGAAAAGATTTAAACTACTACCTTGCCCCAGTGATGGTATGCTTCAACTTCACTCATTTCATGTTAATACGCCTCATTTATACAGAAAATGAATTACTTTACTTCATTCAATATTGTCTATCTTTTTTACAAACTGTTGAATTAGCGTCCAGATAGATCCAGGGAATCATTGCCAAATAGCTCTTAAAAATGACTAATGCAAAGTATTCCAGAAAATACGAATATTTCCCAGTGAACCATAGCCAGGAAGTTTACAAACTGAATATTTTCATCTGGTTGATAGCATATAGTGTATAAGTCTTCTACTATCAAGAGAATTTAATCTAGAGTGATAGTGAGATTTTTACAATGTCAGATACTTTACTCAGTAATTTATTATGCCGTAGATCATCACCGTTGGCGCCTACATGATCGTTTCAGCCTTCTTCAGTGTTTACGAAATGTCCATTGACACGATATTCCTGTGTTTCCGTGAGTACTGGCTTTCATTTGTTTTGAAGAAATCGATTGGATTTGATATTGTTGTACATAATTCTTACATTTTGATGCAAATGTAACATTTCAGAAAAGAGATGATGATTAAAGAATGTACAGGTTTTGTTTTTTGACATTTTTGACTGTATACTGCATGTGTATGAATAGTAGCCCCTAGATTTTTGACACATATTATTAGATGGAGGTCATTTCCATCCCTTGATCCCCACTCCCGAATAGTTTCTGGATTTTTCAACTTTTGGCTAGTTATTGAATGCTTCATACCTTTCAGTTGAAGACAGCGAGCGTCACGATGGCTCACCAGAAAAGCCGTACTATATGTCAAAATCCTTAAAGAAAATTCTTGGAAAGAAGAATAAAAAGAGCGATGATGATGATGATTGAACTTGTTGAGTAGGCGGATGTAAATGGGGGCGATTAACTCTGCAATTCTTTTCCCTTTCAAAGTATACATTACATTATACTAATGTTTTATGTTTGGTGTGATGTAATATTTCAGTCAGTTTTGCACTATAACGTGTTTAGTCTTTCCTAAGACAGGTATTTCTACATTTTCATCGTATATCAGATAACTTACGGCTTATGACTGTTTAGAAAATTAAAGTTAGAGCAACATTGGGTCACTAATGAAATACCTTCTACACTAGAAATGAGTAATGTAAATACACTGTGTATATTTACATTACCAAGCAATTGCATTACCCAAACCTGCAGTTGTTTGCATGTTGAAGGAGAATTTCACGACTTTTCTCATATTTAGACTGTAAAATGCTTGAGCTTGATGTTTTCGCCAATGATTTGAAAATTCGCCTAATTCAACTTTTGCTTTTGTCAAGTTTATTTATCGTAATGCAAATTTTTTCAAATACTGACATTTGCGGCCATGATTAACTAAAGTACGCTCGACAATTGGCACTTTTTACTTTTCAAGACCTCTTCATACAATGCACATTGACAGTTTAACCCTTATCCTTTCTGTGAGTATTCTCTACAAAGATTACTGTGTATATGATACCTTTGTTTGCCACAGTAAATAATTTGATGTACTTTTGCCACAGTAAATGATCAGTGCCATTCTAACTTAAGAGAATCTAGATAATAAGTGCCAATCTATAAAGATTTAGATAAAAAGTTAGTTATGCCCAGCACTTTGTTCACGTTCATGATCCGTAGCTGTCTGGATGTAGAAAAGCGGTAATGATTCGAAGCACGTGCTTTCTACCTCTTTTTAAAAACGAGGCAAGAAACGTTTAAGTGAGTCGACAGAAAGCACAAATACGAAAAATTAAATTATCAAAAATAATTTTCTATTATTGTGCCCAAGCAAATAGGGGGGTCTTTTACTACCTAACTAGTAATGGGTCTACTTTGCCTGTTGTGTGGCTTTTTCATTTTTCTCAAAGGTTATGTGATCTGGCACTTCAGGTATTAAGAGGTTTTTAAGCACTGAACATTTAAACTTGTTTCCTTGTTTTTATGGGTTTATTGATTATTAAATCTAAGAAGTTGTAATATTGTAAAGTTGGTATGAAATTATTAATCAGTGATGCTAATATTAATGTCCTTATTTTGAGTAAATGGCATTTGTTGTATTAATTCTCTCTTCAATACTGTTCCATTGTGGTCAGTGATGGAACAGTGTCATGTGCGTTTCGGTACTTTTACAACGGGTATCCGTTAGGCGTAAAAACCTCCCGGGTCCCGTTCAGCTGCACTCATTTCTACAAGTAAATGACTAGAGGTCAGAATGAAATGTGTTAGTGACTAAATCTTTGACTTGTTTTGTTGGAATTTTATCATTGTCTGCTGCCTTTTCATGCGTTAGGTGTTGAATGAAAATCTGCATATTTTCCTCGGAAACAGGCTTCAGAATTGTTCCAGGGTTTTGTACCTTCCTTTCCTTTCAATTTCCAATCACTCCAATCCTCATAATATTCGCCTTAAAGATATCCTTTGGCTGGCTTGTTTGAAGATGTGTATTTTATTTCCTTTTTTATCACTTTGTGCAATTTGTTCAATTTTATATTCAAATTTAATCGTGCTTAACTTTCTCTAGTTTGCACATTAGTGATTTTTTAAGTTGCAATGGATATGACCTATGAGTGTGAGCCCCCTTCCTTTTTATCAATTTTGCTTAAATTGTATTGAATCTTTAAATGGCTCGTCATAGGTTGGGGTCTGGTACCAGTATGCAATTATAAAATGCTTCATGAAGTTGCAACTGTAATTATCTTTTACAACTTCATCTTATTTTAAATTTTTTAGTGATAGCAGCTGGCTTGCAAAGGTGAGCCCTTTTAAGCTTTAAGGATGAATAACTTAATAATGTTTTCATTCGATCTGTTCCTGCTCCTGTTAATTTTTATAAAATTTTACAAATCTAGACACTTTAGACCATTTAACTGTCTAAAGACGAAGACACTCACTGAATCTAGACACTGAATAAAATGCTAATCACCATTGAACTTACCACTGATAGACGCGATAAGCAGAGACGAGCTTCGATCTTAAGCAAGGGCAACAGTCTGAAAAAAACTTGCGATACAGGAGAACTGTAATGGAAACTACTACAATCTACTATTTGTTCACATTTAGAATTATAGCAAGCCTTTAAATAAAGTGCAGTTAAATGTGTTTTTTCCTTGTATGTCAAAAAGTATCAAAAAGGTAGTTAGGAAAATTACAGTTTACCGGTCTGTCAAAATGCCGGCTGGATGCCGTACAGGCAAGGGTGTACGCTATTAAAAGCTAGTTAGATTATTAACAAGCTGTTCTTCACTATATTTGTCAAATTGAGGTACCACCTGTTGGCAGAAACTACAAAATATCTAAGACATCATCATAGAAGGACACGGTCCAAAACGCTTAATGTTCATCTTACGGCAGACTTTCTGAATACTGCCATTAGAGTACGTTACATTTCTCGACACCATTTCATTTTCATTCAAATCTGATGATTTGATTTTCACAGTGCTACAGAATTGTCTTGTCGAATAGGCTTATTAAATGAATTGAAATTCAAAAACCCTACTTTTCGTATTTTTACTCACTGCAAGATTCACAGTTTCCGACAGACAGCATATCCTGCGCTTTTTCCTTCTTACACAAGATTTTATTGCTTGCAAAGCATTTGAAATTATGATTTAAAAGCAGACTTGAAAGTATTCGGTGGGTTTCCCTTCATCCATCTAATGGCCTGAAATCTTGTTAATTGATACATCTACCGCCAGCTAGCTGATTCATATTCGCACGTTTAACCTTATATAAGTGGATTATTAGTTTTAGTTGGTGCATAGACAATATAAATCGAGCGCATGGTTGTTTGGCAATTTCCACCCTATGCCTCACGTTGGTTGTAGCAAGGTTGGTTGCTTGCTACAGCCTCTGCAACGGAGAGTAGTGACGATATGAATCAATCTAATACTGGCGGAAGGAAAATTGGTTATGGAGTTCTCTTATACTTAAGGTAGTGCCTTGTGCTCAAAATTTTGGCGCTTCTCAGAAAAAATACCGAAACATCTGCCTGGAACACGGCGGTCAGGGCATTTCAAAATCACAATTTCCGTGAATAATAATTTTGAGGACGATATTGTAGTACGTAAACACGCACTGATTTACTGAGTAGTGCATTAATCAGTCCGTCGAAGTAGGGATGTTATTTTTTTATGTTAAAAACCCGTATTTCTTTGGTGAGCCTACATAATTATAGAATATTGCAAAACAAGCTCTGAAAATTAACTTGGATTGAATACAATGGTGTCTAAAAGGCGAAGACATTAAGTTGGGCAAAGAATTGGTGGGTGCATCAGTTAGAAAAGGATTAAAACTATTGGATGTTAATTTTTGTAAATTGCATGCTGTTGGACATTCTAAAGCCAACAAACATAGTCGTGAAGCAGTTTCAATCTTCCTGTCAAAATCTTGTCACAGCACTGTCTATAGTTAAATCAGTGAGAGAGGTGCTTAAGCCATGATGTGTACTCTCGACTGAATACGTGAAAATGCTTGTTACTATCTGAAAAAGCGAAGCGTTAAAATGGGGTGAGCTATGGCCTATAGAAAGTTTGCTAACAGATTACTGTTATTCTGGCTCATTTCATAAAGTTATGAACTGAGACCAAATTACAGTGTTTTGATTGGGCCAGAGCTTGTGCACATCTGGTCATATCTCAGCCAATTCGTAGTACCTTTAACTGATTTTGCAGATTTAGAGGTATTTCATGATTCTCTTTCAGGTTATGGAAAAAATTTCAAAAATTCCAAAAATAGATTTTTTCACGTCATCACTTGACAACTCTATTCAATGTTGAATGAAGAATGCATGATTTTGAAGCAAAAATAATAGAACTACAAATCAGCATTGATTTGAGGGAAGGGGGATTCAAATTTACAGGGGCAACGTAAAGTGAAAATCTGCAAAAATTTCATCTTGAATCATTTTGAATCATTTTGACCGGGATTAAAGCGAGCTCGGGAAGATAGATTTAGCAACTGTATAATGAAAGCGCGCCGATAGCCGCAAATTTTATTAATTTTTATAAGTTGCAGTTACTGCTGGCTTCAGATCAACACATAAGGACTTTAATGAGTGTTTTTTTTACATTAACAAGGGTAGATTCCCCTCAAAGACATTCTTTGCAAGCAAAGAAAGAGTGCAATCTTGCATGACTGGCGGTTGATAGTAAGATTTTGATGGAATACATAAAATTTGCCATTTTTCTTGCTGAAGAATTTTACAACTTTCCTGCTTCTTTGCTTCCATTAACCCACCCCCTAAGCCCTACAAAAAATTTCCCTTTAAACTTCACCTGCATTGGTCATGGGGAGTTTCCACCCAGGGACGTCGGAGAAAGGGGCGCGGGGGTCAACCGCCCCTGTCGCCTTTTGATAGGAGGGGCAAGAGGGGCCAGAGTGCCCTTTTCATTAATGTGCCCTTGAAGCCAGCCAATTGTAATAATCAGAGAGCTTTATATGAAATTCTGATTATAATGCTTAATTCATGACGACATTTCTCAAAACTTGTAATATATATCCTTATGCCAAAAGTTAGCCAATTTTCAAGATACCTGCAGATAATCGAAATAAAATGGTGGCTAGTCGAAGGAGTCAAAAGATGCTGGGAGTTATTATTCAAAGGCCATTTTACTAAAGAATGCCCTCCTTGCCCTTTGGTCGCTCCGGCGTCCCTGTTGCCACTCCTAATCCCCTGGCTTGGCTACGGGCTTGGTTAATGTTAGTGATATTTATTTGCTATTCCTCGCGTTTTACTTGTACAAATTCTACAAGAACATTCGCAATGCTGGATAGTATTTTGTGCTCATGGGGCTTTTATTTTAGAATACAATGAAAAGGAGTGTCGTTTTTCATAGAGTTTCTTTTCCCTTTGTTGAATTAAGGGGCATTTCTGGGCTCGGCATAGCATGGGTGTCACTTTGCTTGGCGAAGCCTTATTGCAAAAGTTAAACCCAGCCACCCTCATTTGGTTTCCATATACAAAAAACTGCTTTTTCTGTACAACTTTAACAGTCTTAGTATCTGTTTCTAACATTGTGGAAGCTTATCCAGGCCCGTCGAAACTGGGGGCTGGAGCTCCCCCCAATAATTGCCAAAATGTAGTATGTTTCCTTTATAACAGCCAGGGGCGGATCTAGAAATTATTCTGAGGGGTGCTAAAACGTAAGGCTTGGTAACCAAGGGTGTTGCTATGCACAAACTCCGTACCCCCTGCTAATAAGCCATAATGAAATGAAAGTCTTCCATAAACTAAAAAGCCTGGATGCCGTGATTGATATAGTAATTTTTTGCTACACTTTGATCAGAACTTGGAACTTTGGCTTCAGCTTTTATGCCAAACGCAATTTGAAGCTCTCCCCCTCATATTCACTTAGGGTACAAAAGTATAGAAACTGTAGCCAAATATGATATCATTGCCCGCAGTGGCAAAAGGCCCGAGCCCACAAATTTCCAAAGCAAAGTTTAATTTTTGACTCTTTGCAGCCATTTATTAGAACTTGATCATGGCTGGTGGAATGAAGCCCTTGAACTTGAAGTGCAGTGCACGTGATTAGAGACAATAGAACAATAGAAAAAAGTCGGACAAAAGTTGAACACAGGGATTCGAACACAGCATGCATGGCATGCATCGACATATGATACCAAACCAAACAAATGAGGCCTGGGCCTGCCGTTTTGAGTATTTTTATGAATTTGAAATCTTTAGAGAAAAAAGTATTCGTAGGAATATAAGTAGGAATAAGAAGAAAACCCCTTTTGGTCAAGAATAATATGGGCAAGTTTTTGAAATGTTTTGTATGTAGTTCTTGAATGATTAACAAAATAATACCTCATGGTCTATGAATAAGACGTGAAACACGGAGTTGAAACTTGAATCCGTTCTGTTATATAAACCAAAGCGTTTACAAGTTCTGCCGTTACAGCATCGAGCACCAGGTAAAGATCGTCAAAAGACCTACGAAAATTGCAAATTTGCACTTCACCTAAGCAATCGTCGCGTGCTGTATCATAATTTAACTCCCCCTGTTCAAGCTCAACTCCCCCTGGTCATAAAACCACTATACATTTGACTGTAGATTGAAGCGAAGAAACTCCCCCTGGTTTGGTCGGTATTCTTTGATGTTTTGGATTTTGAAATCCATGGGTTCTCGCGCCAAAGTTTAGAACCCCTCGACCTGGCACCGTGATTGGCTAGATTCACTTCCACGGGTGCAGAAAATCGTATAATTTACAGGCCACGGGTTCCTCAAGTGGCTGGTTATAAGAGGAGACAATGCTTTCCGAGTCTGTAGAATGCTATACAGTACAACCAGGGGGAGTTTGATAACACTTCAATGCATTGACTGAAATAACAATGTTGAACAGTTGTGAGACGGGGCATTGAAGCGGATATAACAATTTCAGGAGATGTGCATACTTCTCGGTAAAAGAGATAATAAATGGTTTAAATAATTATAAACAAAATTGCGATAGAATAAGCTTTAATCCCCAAAAAGTTTTTCCTCAAATCTGAGGGGTGCTCGAGCCCCCTTCGCACCCCTCTGGATCCGCCCCTGACTGACAGCGTACTGAATGAGAAGGAATACAATGGGCAGCCCCCCAATATGAATTTCTTTCCGACGGCACTGTTATCATCGTGCATCTTTTATGCTCTTAATATTTTCTAGCTTTTGCTCCGATTAACCAAATCGCTCTCGATAATATGGAACGTAGCCTCACAACTGACTTCCTGATGTCAATGGCATGTTTTTCTAAGGGAGTATTCTTGTCCTAGAAATTGCATTGTAACTTCTGTCCCGGATTAGAAAATGAAAATCTACTGTTGTACTGTAAAACTTTAAATTCCTGAAAGAGCACTGATCTAGGGTGCCGCAACTGCCTTACGCAAGGCAGTCAACTACCGCTGACAAAGACTGAAACATTTAAATTTCGCCAAACACATCTTCAGTTTCAGTTTCATTTATTTTTGATTTTTTTGTTAATGACTCATGCCCTCCCATCTCCCCCCCTCTTCTCCCACAAGTATCTCCATTAATTGATTGCGTGCAGTCGTTGTGAGACCCTACTTTGCATCTTTGCTTTGCCTCATATTGAGCGAATAAGTGATTCTTTCCCTGCGATTATGTGATCTTCTTCCCTCCCTCAGATGATTTGACATAAATTATATTTTGCGGCATTTCGCATATTAATTTTAGATGCCCGCGCAGTTTTAAACAATCGTTTTTGAGACCCTACGTCATTTTTATTGTTCTCCATGCGGCATCGATGAGATGTATGAGAAATTTTTGTATATGCAAAATATGTGGAGTGGGCTCAGCGTATGGTTATTTGGAATCTTGAGGTGCCGCAGAATGCCGCATTTGATATCAGGGTGATACTTGTCATACGTAGGTGATCCACTAGATCGGTGCGGTGATCATGAAGACGATTAGCAGCCTCATTTCACTCCTGTACCGTGATTTTGACAGACAGGAAAATAAAGCTGAGAATGGGAAAGGATATCCTGAAAAAGGTTAAGTTCTGTCAGAGACGTGAAAATTGGAAGCTTCATGCATGACCTTAGCAATATTAAGCTTAAAAGACTTGGAAATTCTGCTTCTATTTCTGCAGCTAAAGTATCGGAGCTAGGCCTACTTGGTTAAAAGTTCTATGTTGAGCCGAGAACAAACTTTTTTCTTTGGAGGTGAATTATTATTGAAGCAAACGTTTTTGAAACATTGTTATTTATGCTTCATTCTTGTTAACGTTCGGTTTCTTTTAATTTAGACGTATTTGAATAATGTTCTTTGTTATTTAATAACAATATGATTGCCAAAAAACTTTGTTTTTTATCGCATAAAATGTGTATATTATCAGAGTCAGTTAGCATTGTCAATTCTTTCCCAATACAACATAAAGTATAGAAAAAATATTATTTGTTTGATCAAATTGGCTCGAATCATGAGGATGTAAATTTAAAAATAATAGACAGAGTATTTAATAAGTATTTTATAAGTTTACAGACACAAGAATTTAATACACATAGAAAATCTGGTTTCAAAAATTCTGTGGAGGTTCCAGGGAAAATAGCTAGCCTCACTTTCTCTATAAATTTTTTTAACTTCAATTTCGATTTGTTTCAAACATCGCATCAGAGCATGCTGGGTTTCTTTTTCTAATTTTGTGTGCTATATTTCAAATTATGTTATGTTATGTTATGTTATGTTATGTTATGTTATGTTATGTTATGTTATGTTATGTTATGTTATGTTATGTTATGTTATGTTATGTTATGTATGTTATGTTATGTTATGTTATGTTATGTTATGTTATGTTATGTTATGTTATGTTATGTTATGTTATGTTATGTTATGTTATGTTATGTTATGTTATGTTATGTTATGTTATGACACATCAGACACAAATGTATCAGAGATCTTTCAATTTGGGAAAGCTGTTGCTATTAGACTTAGAAACTAAAAACATAACATTAAAGTCTGATGAATGTTTATGTGTTCAGAAGTAAATTTTAACCAGTGCTTATATTTCTGATAACTTGACATAGCTATCACCTGATTGGCAAATCTGTGTTATTTTAGTAAGGATTATTGAATTGCTATTTATGGTTATGAAATTAGCTTATCTTGTCCTCTCAGGATGCCCTTGGTTGCTTTTTGAGATATTTTGGAGAAAATGCCTTTAAAAAGACAAGTAAACTTAAGGGAAATAGAATTTGTGTATCTGAATGACTCCCAAATAAATATTCGAAAAATACTTTATTCTTTGATGTCTGTATCTATTATCTGTCAATCTGCAATGTCATCTGTTGGTATAATCTGTAATGTTAACTGTCTGTATAATCTTTATCTATGGAAGTAACTTAGTACGAAAAAATATCAATTACTTAGGGCATTTTATAGCAGAGCTTTATCTGTATGTAACCTTCAGTGCATTCTTTCACAATTTTGTTTCTTTGCTGGCAACAGACCAGACCCATAGGCTTATTGATATGCCTTTAAACTGTCAAACATTTGAGTGCTTAACAAAGCAACATCAAATAACTTACATCCTGTCTGCAAAGCTTGATCAAAACACCATGTACCTAGAGGTTATTGGCATGACTGAAAAAAGATATCAGAAGTCTATATAAAATTCTATTTTGATAGAATTTTATATAGACTTCTGACATCTTTGTTCAGTTTTTGATGGTGATAATGTTTTATAAGTTCCAGTAGTGTAAAGACTAGTTTTTAAGATTCAAGTGCAAATGCAAAGTCTAACTGTTGTAGCTTTAGGATGAGAAGAAGCCCAATTCAAGCCTACTCACTTAGACCTTCATACTCCTAAAGAGAGTTCTGTTTCCTTTCATAAACTGAATCATAAAATCTCAAAACAGAAAATGAATTGAAATTGCTGTTTCAAATTATTCTGATAGTGGCTTTTTGGACAAGTTGAACTTGTTGGAGCAGGTCAGTAGTAGGACCTCTTTAATATTGCCTGAGAACCAGATGCAAATTTTAGAGTTCCTTCCAAATTTAGGAAAAAAGAAAGTTTTTCATTCTCTTGGCTTAAAAGTTACCCATGGTTTCAATATTCTAAAGCTTAATGTTATGCAATTTGCCTGCCTTTGGACATTTTTTATCTAAGAAATGGTGTAAATTCATCCAGAGACAAGCTGGTGAATTTTTTGACAGACGTTTCCTGTACAGTAGCAAGATATAGAATCAATGCAGATTTGATATCAACCATACCCTATTATTAACCATGCTAACCTTTGTAACTGTAAAAGAAGTAGGCAGTGAAGATTCATAATTGGCAGTGAAGAATAACTTAAGAGAATGTTGTTTTATAGTTTCCTTGAATAACATAAAATATTTACAAGCAACCAACGCCACTATTTAACCACTTTACATTGCGCATGCGCAAATGGGTTTTGACCACGCCCTTTTTTGCCATTTACTTTTGGACCACACCCTTTTGCGGCAGTCAAATTTTTCTTTAGATCCGCCCCTGCACTAAGAGAAGGCAACATCAGGGTTGCCAGATGCTGGGAATAGTTAGCGGCCAAATACTTTACGGTTGACGGCCAAATTTGGCCAGCCAAACAAAATATAAAAAATTGCTACGTTTTGCTAATTCTTTGGAGCTATAGTGTAATCAAAAATGGCTTTGTTTGTTACAAAATCTCCCACTTGCTTTCAATTTCAATTTCAATTTTCTGCTATCTTTTACTTTGTTTCTTGCTTCGTTATTTGTAATTTTGAGATTATTTCAACAAAATGTTGAATATTGCCTGTGCTAAAGTTGTCCTTTTCTTTGTATTTTTGTGGCTTTCAACAAGCGGCCAAAATTCCGCCAACTTTCGCTTTTTCGGCAAATTAATTTTCAACGGCCAACAGCTTTGAAAAACGGCCAGAATGGAGGAATTTGGCCGTCAACATCTCTATGGAAGATATGTGACAGCAGCAACAACATCTTTAAAGATAATGGAAAATGAACAAACCAACAACACCAACAGCATTTACCGCTAGGGTAATGGCGAATGCATGTGTCGCTGAGAAATATTCGTTACAGAATTTATAGTTGTGCAGCAATCCGGGAAGGATTCATGAAACTTTAGCCGTGGTTTCAGCAACAGATATGGTAAGTTATTAATTTTTTGGACTTCACACTTGAGCCCAAACTGCTAGGAGTCGAGGAGTAAACAAACTACTATGCGTTATATTTTATCCTGATTCCTGAATTTGGATTGGATGCATGTCAAAGGCAAGTAGACCAAGATAGGATAGGGCAGGGCATTTTTTTATTTAACATATTCAGTGGTGGGGGATTGCCTCACCAGGCCCTATGAGTTCCCCCACCACTGAAAAGCACAATTCTGCTTTTAACCCAGATACCAAAAGTCCACTTTGTTGGGGCCCTTTCATGCAATAGCAATAGCAAAAGAGAATAGATATAATGCAAATGTGCTAGCAAAAGAACATAATATTACATCTTCTATCATCATGATGTTTTTTGTGAAATAGCTCCACTACTGCAACTACAAACAGTTGAACAAGCTCTGCCTTCAGTAGAGAGGACATTCTGATTTTTCACTGAATATGTTTAAATCAGGGACGTAGGAAGCTTTGTTAGCCTTACTAATTGCTTCCTTAAACTATCACGTATCACCGCTGAATTTCCTATTCAACACTCTTTCGAAGCTCTCGATATGAAGCTCTCTATCTTCCAAAGCTCTCAAAGGATGCTCTCGTGGACATTTTATTTAGAGGTGCGAAATAGAGCGCCTAGAGTTTCTTAGGGGCTCTTTTTATGGAGCACCTTCATTTTGCTTAGAGCAAGGCCTGAAACAACCCAGCCAATCCTTGCAACAAGCCAGGATTTGTAGCATTAATTGAAACATATAACAGTCTTAAGCACCTGTCCATAAATCCCATACAATTTCTTGAGGTGAGCGTGGGTCTTTTTGAAAAATGCCCCACAGCTCAAAACCCTTAAAAATGCCCTGGGATAGGGCATTATGCCTGGTTTGTTTGTTCCACTTTAAAATAGTCTTGTGAACTGTTTACTTATTTATAGGCAGTGACTTTACATACAGATCTTGGCGATCTCAAGATTGAGCTTTTTTGTGATGAAACTCCCAAAACATGTGAGGTAAGAGTTTTATATGGGTACATGGTAACTATATAAGTTGTGTGTGATACTTCATCCGTATAGGCTCTTCTTTCCTATTTGTTGAATCTTTCCTTCTCTTAGCTTGGCTCATTTCTTTTTCAGCCACTTGCTAACAAGTAGATGCTTGAAACATCATGTTTTTAACAATATCACAACTTCATTTATTTGATTTTGGGACTTATTTTATTCGCTCATTATATTACTGTTACAGGGTAATTATATAGGCCTTTTTATCAAAGGCATTAACACCAGTATAAGGGCCTTATAAAGATTAATCTGTTGAAAAAGTTAAGTCCATTGATTGAGTCTGATAAATTCATCTTATAAATTCAGTCTTTTGTGAAGTCAATGCTTAAGATTTCCGTATTTATTTTTGGTGAAAGAACCTATACAGCCATTCCATAGTGACTCGCGTGACAGAGTCACACACATATTTAGTTGTCTAGTAAAGTCAGAATTATTTTCCAAAGCTTGTGATACAATAATAGAATCCCCTTGAGCCATTCTTTATCTTGGCAATGTTTTGTTCCAAAAAAACTTGCTCACCTATGCAATTTTTTTGTTCATCTGGTGTGACTCGTGTGACCATCACATTTTGAAAGTCTTTACTTGCAGTTGCCTATCTTACTTTATCTGAGAAATTTTAAAGCCTTTATGAAGAAGCTTTTAAAAAGATTGCCCCTACTCATTGAGTCACCATATAAGTAGAAAATTTCAATTGAGGTATATTTGCTTTTTGAAATAAAAAGACCAATGCAATGTGACTCGTGTGACCCACAAATGTGACTCGC